ATCAAGTATGCGTGAATAAGCATGTACGTGACCTACATCCACATGAGAAAAACAATTGCTAGCTTTGCTGCACACATTTGCGTTCCTCTCACTTCTCTGAGCTTTTCCCCCGGTAACTATAAAAGAAAAAAAGAATAAAACACAGTTCAAGTCAACTGTTGTTATGGTATAGTACAAAAGTTTTTTTTTTAATTTTTGAAAATTTTAAAAAAATTTGTAAAAATTATATGAACAATTATTTGTTCGTTTGATGAGAAAAGTTAGTTTGTTATGTATATTATATAAGTTACTTTACTATAGTTTATTTATTAACTTAATTTATAATCAAACCAAATGAATGAATATATAGTAAATATAAATTTACATTAAAAATTAGTTACGAAATACACGATAACATGCAGTAATCGAATTACATTCATCGGGACTTTTTTTTTTTTAATATGTAATTGGTCAAAAAAAAAGAAATAAAATTTATAAAATTCAAAACGTATGGTGTGGTGTGGTGGGATTGTGTACTGTAGAGGGGACGGGATGTACGTCACGGAGTGAGGCGAAGGGGGAAGAATCGAGAATAATCCATTTTCGTTGATTTACCCTCATGCATAACGCGTCTATAGAAGTATAAATTTAAAAATATCATATGTGACTTACATAGAAAGTCTTTAGAATGTCAATTAGGTTACTAATTATTGGACGTTTCGCAGGTTTATAATTAAAGTTATTGTAAAACGCCAATCATCCAACACGGAACTGGTATTTGGTTTATTATTTTTAATTATTTCATCTTTCAAAAGAAAAAAATTATAAGAACATTGTTCTACATCAATTGTTTTGTACTGTTCACTAGAATCATAATTTTTTTTTTTTTATTTCAAAAGCCGAAAAAAGAAAGTATTGGACTATGGACGCATCTCAACTTGGTTGTTCAAAAAACATTTTGTTACTAGAGAAGATCAATCAAGAACGTCATGGAAAGTTTTATTCCTTATAATATTTGACATTTTCTCCACACACAAAAGACATGCAACACTTTNTTTTTTTTTTTTAATTCAAAAGCCGAAAAAGGAACATTATCTTTGTGAGTTATTGTATCCGTAGATTTATGAAATGCTGATGATGCAAATTTTTTCACTCTTTCAGACTCTTGAATTAAATGTAGCTCATTAACTTTGAATTGAAGCAGAGCTTGGGATACTAGATCCACATATGAGTCATGCCTTTGATTTAACTGAACATTGGGCAATCAATTTAGTAGCTGGTTGGCACTTTTTTTCATAAGAAATGGTTCCGTATTTAAAGGCTCCTCATTTGTGAGAAAGTGTAAATTGACTGTTGTTTATTTTTTTCTCAAATTTTGTGACAAAAATTCTAAAAGTCAGTTTCCTCTTTATCCAGGTCAGGTCAAAAATTTTATCGTCCGTAGAACGTAACTTGCTTTCCACATATCGAAACATTGATGCATTTCAGTTTGTCTTAATGCGTTGAATGAGTTTCTTACACCTTTATTTTTCCGTTTCCTTCAGTAACAATTTTTTTAATTTCTTGCAAAATATCTTCAACCTTTTCTTTTACTTTCCGACCCACTCCAGTGGCAACAATGAGATAGTAACATAATGTATTTACTCCTGGCTCGAACTTATTTAATATTTTACAACAGGACTACATAATTGTGAATACCGATATTTTTTATTGTGGTTGATAAAAAACTGTACTCATATACACCTGACTGCAATTGCAATTCCTCATTTACTATTTGTAGAGCAAATGGTTGGTTGTTCCTTTCGTAGATTAGATTTGTTTCATTTTTTTTTGTAGTTCTGATTTATTCCAGCTTGATTTTGTTGGTAGCTTTTATAATACATTGTCATTCTTGATGCTTATGTAACTCTAATAAAATATAAGTTATATTTATGAACTCATCATAGTTGTTATTATTTATTTATGATAATTAACAGTACAAAATTGATTAAAAATATACAATCCTTGGTCTCCATGTTCAGACTGTAGAATTATTACGTGATACCAGCTTAAACTGTTGGTGTTACTTTTTTAAAAGAAAAAAACATGTATTATGGAGCACAAGCATCATAATATAACTGTATTCAATTGCTACCTACTTTTAATACAACACTCAGCAGCTTAAATATAAGTTCCAACGTTCTGTGCATGGAGAGTAGTACTGCACACCTTGGACACGTGAAGGGGAGATATACGGGCTTTCATAGTAGGCAGTAGGCAACCTGAGTGAATGTTACTCTCTGTCCATGATACATAATTGTACAATAGTTAAGAAACAATACATTACTATACATGAATATTAATGTGTACATTTAATGCACTCGTTTTTATTCTCTGTTTTCTTTCTACATACGCAAAAAATGACTACGAGAATGAGATTAGAATAAGAACGAGACACGGCGCTACAAAATTTTGTGTGAAACTACGTATTTGTGGTGATGATAAGGAGAGAAGTCTTTTGTTAATATTTATCCAGTAACTATCTGAAGACAAAAAGGGACCAGTCAGCCCATAGATTGTGTTAAGTTATCCGTTTGTCTTACGTGTAAATTTGTTAACTTTTGTTTCGAGAGCATAATGTTTAAACAAGTCACAAGACAAAATGATGATAAGAGCAGCCATCATAAGTATACAGCCATTTTCTCCAGAAAGTTAAACATAGAGTCAACGGTCACAATGGTTAGAAGGCACATTCTCTATCATGAGAATACAAGAGACGGATAAAGTAGTAAGCGTATTGAAAAACGTTTCTTAGACCCAGACATAATCTGCATGTTCTCCAGCCAATATACGAGGCCACCGTACCTTGTGGAGGAGTCCAGCGGCTCTTGGTACATCACTGACGACTATAGGCATCTCAACTCCTGCACGATTCTTGACCACTATCTTCTGCCAGTCGTCAAGGATCTGCTGCAGGAAACCAAGGAGGAGATCTCTTGGTCATCTAAAGAAGGCTGTCTACCAGATTCCTATTAGAAAGGTGGACATACCAAAGGCAGAAGAAGAGCGTTAAGATCTAATGGAATTCAGAGGTAGATACCTTTTTTGAACATAGTGTACTCATTATTTCAGAAATTACAATTACCACCATCTTTAAGGCTGATGCTCCACTAGCTCTGAAAACAGATGCCTCAAACTCCACTATTGGCACAGCACTAAAACAACGAAATGACCATGGCACTAAAAGATCTCTGACCTTTCGCCATAAAATTCTTGTATGCGCAGCTACTCTGTTATCTAAATTTCATCTTAAAATTTAATATTACGATAATCTACGTCAAGAACAATAATAATGGTGGCCGATGCTTTCCTAAGAGTCACCACTGTCTCTGTTCTTAACACAACATATCGCCTCCAAGTTTGTTTGATCTAAAATATCTGAATATGTCAATCACTGTTTCTGCGAGCTCTTTCAGTGAGTTAAGGCATATTGTCATAACCGTTTGGCTCTTGGAGACTTCAATTTGCCACAGGGCTAATTACAGCATATCAACGTCATTATCAAACTGCCTGTATGTCAAGGGCTATAGTCCTGCCTTACCATCGTTTATAAATGAAGCAGGTGGGTGTGAGCCATTCTTTTACTAGATCAATAAGCATTTATGTCGATAAAAAGCGTCACCAAATCAGTCACTATAGCGATCTATTGACCATCGCATCTGACCAAGGCAGTAGGCCAGAGAAGACCACCCTGAGGTATCAAAGCTGTCAGATTTGCTGAAAACTTCAGTCAAGAAAGTATTTAGCTCATCAGTTTTTTTAGGACCATGAAACGTCGAACTACCTTGCCATTAAATATATCACAACTTAAAAAAGTTGACAAAAAACAGCTCTTAGGGCTCACAAAAGTTTTAACAATGCTTACAGTTGCAAGAGGGTGAAGTAAACGGAAAACGTCAAATGCTTTAAACGTATCCAAATTTAGGTGTCAAGAAAATGACGCAGAACATTCATCAAGATTGAAACAGCAGAGTCAAAATTGACGAATAAAGAATCTATTAAGCGAGAGATTAGCTTTATATTATAATCCTGACAGTAACCACTTAAATCTTCGAGCTCTTTAAATAGGTAGAAGCATATGTGTTTTAATTCATTGTGGTGATAAAAAATAGAGATATTAGGAACCAGGACTTAAATGCTCTGGTAATAAGATTTTAGGATTGAAAAGTGTATTCAGTTGTATATTTTATATCACTTTTAAATCTTTACAGTTCTGACAAATAGCCCTTTTTAATTATTATAACATGCGGAAGTGCAAATCAACGGCCCTTTAGAGCCAACAACTATTTTATGGTACCGTACTTTTCAGCATCATTGTATTTTTTTGAACTTCCTTACAGCTTAGTATTCGACAAAAACTGCATGAATTACAGGCAAAAATTTTTTCAATTAGAATTATGTGTCAACACACTACGGTAGTCTACTCAGTGAGTCTCGGATAAACCCAGGGGGCCGCTCATCGTAACCATTTTCATGGCTTTCATACAAAAGGTCGAAATAATCACTTGTAAATCGATGAAAACTTTCCATTAACTTATACTATAATGAATTGAAACACTTTTTTTTTATCGGATTACTTTACGTGTACATTATTTTTATAGTGGTCAGAGATGCTGATAACGTGATATTGTTTATCGTACAATAGTTTGGTAATAAAAAAATGACTAGTTTGTTTCAGTTGTTTCGTGTATGAATAATTTTTTTCTAACATTAAACATTTTAAAGATTTTTATGGTTATTCTTAAAAGTGGTATTAACTGTTTCAGGCAAACTGATAAGCAATAGTTTAATAAAAGAGTTATTAAAAAGCTACTGTGAAAGCAATTATTGTTGAACTTTCTAAGATTCTTATAAATAAATTTTACAGTTTTTTAATGATTGAATTATGCTTACTACATAATATATATGGTCTCATGACCTTTTTTTGTATATAAATACCTATGTAGTACACGTATGTATAAAATAAATAATACTTTTTGCAGATGAAGAATGCAGTTTTGCAGAAACAAAATAATGACACCGCAATGTTGAAATTCAAACCTTCCCTTGAAATTTATAGACCACCCGGTAAGTGTGTATAACAATTAAGAACATTTGCATTTGGTCTCAATAAGTGTATGTGTGCTAGTTGTGCTATGCATCAGATGTTTGTTTGTTGACATAATATTCATATAACAGAGATTAGTAGGGAGATTACCAGTGCCTATGGAAAAAAGTATATCTCTTGTTTTCACTAGCTTAAGCGCCCTATCGAGGCGAACTAGCCAAACTATAAGCACATTTTCAGCTGTGGAGGGGAAAGCCCAAATGTGCGTACGATAGGTACCTAGTAGAGGGAGAAGGGATATATGCATATATATATCTGTAGCTGACGACACTGCTGATCTAGATATGATTGTGGACATCACCGAGGCACAAAAGGTTACCGAGCAATATAAAAAAAAGAGATCTGAGGACCCTTCGGACAAGTCTTTCTTTAAGAGTAACAAAAAAAATAAAAAAAATAAACAAAACAATGAGCAAGACGCTGAAAATTCTGACAAGAATACTTACGTCACTGACTTAAAATACGCTGAAAGTAACGTAAAGCAAAAAAATATCAAGTAAAAGAGATCTACCTTTAATCCAATCATAAGCTTGAAGTAATTTTCAAGACCTTTCTAAATGGTAATTAAATTTTGGAGGACGAGCAAATTCCGTGTTAAAACTTCATACTTTACTTCCGTCTCATTGAAAAAGGAATCATAAAAAGCGTGAACTTTGATAGAAAATACAACGATATTGAATAAGATTTAAATTCACAGTGTAAGGAGAATTACAAAAAAAAGTCAAAATGTCTGTATGGACCCTACTTTATCGAAAGATATTCCATTAAGTCAATCGTCATTTCTTTTCATAGTCAAGTTCTATCACAACGGGTTTATCTTTACCGTATAGCTCACTCGATTCAAGTTTACGTTGCTGAGCCCTGCATCTGCTACTCTTGTTTCTTACCTGGCGACACATTATGTAAATATCAAAGGTCTTCTCTTTGCAGAAAATGGGAGTTCTAATGCTGCATTGACAGTCAAGACGACATACAAAAGACAACAATATTTTCATTGTATCATACTCTCCTTAGAATACAAATAATTACCGAAAATTTTTTATAAATTTGTGTACATTTAACAGAACAATAAATATTTATTAAATTACTTGACTGGCTCTGTAAATTGACTCGTAATAATAAGCTACCTTATACTTACACATTTTGTATTACTGCATAAACATGTGTTATCTAAATCTATGTATGTATTAGTATTCTGTGATAGAAAGGCATACAAGAAATTCAAATTTTTTAAACACTTTATCACTGACATTAACAAAAACAAGCTAAGCGCACCGAAAACTATTTTTTTTACGTACAAATCATAATATGTTAAATAATATTTAATATCATTTAATTTTGCCTTCGGTTTAAAACTGAAGATTGTGAATTACAGTCTCATGCTTCTTCACACGCTATGGGACAGCAGATAGTCCGTCTATTTGTTCCTTTGTATATTGGGAAAAGGAAAAAAAAGAGAGTGTTCGGCTTTGTAAAATATAAATATCTACATACCTTTTCTTCCTTTTTTATTTAATTTTATATGACTCTTCAGTGCTGCTTCTTTTAATATTATTAATTTTATTGAATTTCAACAAATAAAATATTCTGCACAATCTGGTGTGCTTCTTCTTTTTTATTTATTTAGTTTTCAAATAACTCATGCATTTATTTGAATTTGATTTATTTGAATTAACTTAATCATTTGCGGATTCAACTAAATATTTACTTCAATCAGTAAAATTATATATTAAGTCACATATATATTTGAATTAAAAAAAAATTTAATTGAAAATGAGAAATATTTATTAATACACAAGGCATACACAATTTAATTGCGACAAATAAATCATTTATAAGGATACGTTCAAAAAAACTATTTTTTCGTTTCGAATGAGACGTTCTGAAACAAAAGTGATATTTATTTAAATCCAAAAAATGTTTAGTATTTCAAGGATCACATATTTGCAAGAAAATAAATATTTATTAAAAACTAATAAATATTTATTTCATCAAGTAAACAACGCTTATTGAGATTATTTCGTCCATTTGACTGAAACATATTAAAGCCAAGTAAAAAATTTATTTCAATTTTAAGGATGATATGATTTCTTCGAAACATGTAAATCCTTTATAAGAATACGTTCAAAAAAACGATTTTTTTGTTTCAAGTAAGAAACGTTCTAGAACAGTAATATTTATTTGAATCCAATAAATGTTTGGTATTTCATGGACCTCACATTTGCGGGAAAATAAATATTCATCAATAAATAATAAATATTGATTTCATCAAGTAAACGATGCTTATTAAGATAGTTTTGCTTACTTGGGTAAGATATATTAAAAACAAGTAAACGATTTATTCTAATTTAAGGGATTACATAATTTATTCAAAACATGTAAATCGTTTATAAGACTACGTTTACAAAAACAATTTCTTTGTTTCAAGTAAAACACGCTCTAGAAAGAGAGTAATATTTATTTGAATCCAAAGAAATACATGATTTATACTTAATAAATAAATTATTTCTTTGGATTCAAATAAATATTACTCTCTTTCTAGAGAGTAATATTTATTTGAATCCAAAGAAATACATGATTTATACTTAATAAATAAATTATTCTTATGTACTTAAAAAATGACTTATTTTATCTAAATTGAATGGTATTGAAGGAAAAAAATTTATTTATTATAGGAAATCTTACATGTGTTAAAATAATGTAAAAAAAAGTTAGTATATTTTATTTAAACTCACACTACTTATACCAGTCATTAATTTACCTAGTTGAATAAGTGACCGGAAAATTTGTTGTGTTTATTAAAAATTATAAGAATAAGATCCTTGTGATACAGCATAGCAAAGTTTATTTTATGTTCATAAATCAATGGAAATTTTATTTTTCATCACTGGAAACAATCTGCGTAAATTTAATTACTTTAATTACCTTTTAGCTGCTGTTGTTGCAATGCAGTGTAAATACTGGTTAATGTAAACAAAAGTTCAACAAAATATTTGGTTATGTCGTGTATACAAACACAACTTGTGTAACTCGACTTTAAACTTGCTAACTTGAACTCACTCTTGTTTTAGATTCGGGACGATCATCTGTAGNTTATACCAGTCATTAATTGACCTAGCTGAATAAGTGACCAGAAAATTTGTTGTTTATTAAAAATTATAAGAATAAGATGCTTGTGATACAGCATAGCAAAGTTTATTTTATGTTGATAAATCAATGGAAATCTTATTTTTTATTACTGGTTACAATCTGCGTAAATTTAATTACTTTAATTACCTTTCAGCTGCTGTTGTTGCAATACAGTGTAAATAGGTACTGGGTAATATAAAACAAACTTAAAAATAAAATAATATGTACACATACGTTTGTGTATGCATGTGTTGGGGTCTATGAAGATTAGTAGGGTGTCAGTAAGGTTCCACAAAATTAGTGAGGTGGTCGTTGAGGTGGGTCAATAAAATTAGTCTGGGGGATAAAGGGTCTTGAAAAAAAATGTACTACCTCAAAATAAGTAAGAAAACGACCGAATTTCATTTTATTTCTTAAGGGGATCAGTGAGGGTCTGGGGAGTCTGTAAGTATTAGTGGGGACTGTAAGAGGGAGTGTGTAATGACTGTTACAAATAACTGTATTATACAGGAAGATTTATATAGGAATTATTACATATAGATGTGTACGTATTATTTTCATTTTTTTAAAGTGTTTATTCAAAAGTTAGTTGAAAAATTTGTTGCTTTTTACCAAAGATAACTTAATGTATACCATTCAGAATGTCACTATTAAGATCTGACATTGCAACATTAGAGATTATAGTCACTCCATTTCTCAAACTCAAAAGAATCATTCAACAATCCATTAACATTCCAGGATTTTGTACGCTTACAAAATGACGCGCGTCCACTCTAGGTAGTGGCATAGTTTTTATTGTACGATATAATATTAAATACTATGAAACTTATACTCATTGTTTGGACTGGTCAGCTGAACTGGGCAGTATAAAGGCCAATAACGTTTTTCCCCCTTTTTATTTTTATATTTGCTACAAAACACCGGGACATACTCTTTTTCAGTTGTTTTGGGATGCAAATACGGAAAATAAAAAACCTTCTTACAACTCAACACTTATTCGCGATTACAATGCACACAACGTGCCGTGAAATTGTGACATCACCCAGTACTAGTATTTATTTCGAAAATTCTTTCTTAGCCAGAGACTCAGTTCTGCACAACTTCAACACTGTGACACTAGCACATACTGTAATAATCGTAGAAAATACTACTCTAATCTCAACTTAATACTTTTTACACAAAATATTAAAGACTTAGTAATCTACTTGGTATTCGAAAAAAATTTCGGCTCTGACCATTTCCGAGTAACTTTTGACTTATTTACTAGCAAATATATTTATGAAAAAAAAATTATTTAAAATTAACTCTATTCGTACAGATTAGAACAGGGTTGAAAAAATCTTGGGGAATAATTTCGAAAATCTTCACTAGAGCCACTATGAGTCTTTAACTCCTACAGATAAATTTTAATTTTTTTATTGATATAATCATCTTGATTAAAATATTGCATGAAAATAAAAAAAATAGGTCTTTAAGATTATGCACACCAATCCTGCTTTCTGGTGAAACTAAGATTGTGATACCTTTTGTCTAGAATAAATGCTATATTTAAAAAAAACTGAATTCTCAAACCAAATATTGAACACATGGTAGATAACATTTACCTTAAAAGCTTATACAAAGCTTGGCAAGATATATTCATCATGGGTATCCAGAAATTCTGATAACTCATCTCCTTGCCTACCAGATGCTTTCTTGGACTCCCCGTTTTTGTTCTTAAACTGAATGTTGCCCTTAGAGACAAGAGAGTTACTTTTACTCCTGGCATAGATGGAATTAAGCTTGCTATCATAAAAAAACAATCTAATAAATATCTTCTCATCTTACTTCA